GTTACCACCCAAACATTCTTTACAATTTTCATAAATACAGTAGACACTCACAGTCTACCTGTCTACCTTCTCTTGGTTACTATCCCATTTCTACAGCAAGCATAGACTTTTGTAATATGTTGGGGTTTTTTTGTACAGAACAAAAAAGCCATCCTTGTAAATTATCAGATCAGTAATCTCACCAATTACTTCACCATGTGCATTAAATCAACATGTTTTACACTCCAGGAATAATAAGTAAACCACTAGTACGCTTGCTCTTAAAACAAATAAAAATCACACATACATAGTCAGCTCTATGCTGTATGTCTGGGTTAAAATGACTATATAGTTGATGGAGAACATTAGACACCTTTTCAGTACAAGGACAATCGGACTTGCTTATAAACATGATGACTTGGAAGACTGGAAATACACACGACCCAGTAACAGCTCTGATGAGAAAATGACAACACCTGGTTTGAGTAATGGACATTACAGGATATCACATATATTGGAGAGGAAATCAATATCACTACACAATAACTACAGGTCATGCTGCTGTGGAAGTATGACATGAGAAGAGAAGTTGCGGAATGATTGTAGTAGACACATATCCAGTAACTTCATCCACTATACCAACACTCCTAGAGCTGGGGCTATTGTCAGGCTATGTAGAAGTCAAAGAGTTACAGTCAACTTAGCATTAACACAGCTTTGTGGCAACTGTCCCAAGATGGTTGTGAACAGTGCTAATATCAAACATTGTACTCCCACTTGTAATGTATATAGCACTAAGATCAATTTGGGTATCTGCCATGTTGTTTGCCATTTGAAACCTCTACCTAATATTGATTGTAGAATGTTGTCAGTAATAGAACACAACTGATACAAAACTCTGGCATAATATTCATGCATGAACATGTTGGCCTTGAAAGACAAAATACAGCAAAAGGTGAATGGTTAATACCAAGCTTAAAACTTGTTTGGTAACGAACACTGAGTACAGGTTTATTTACGCTCTAACAGTTTCACAGCAAGACAGTAACATATGTTATATTTGGGGTTACACTTTCTTAGTAAAGTACAGATTCTAGTACTTTTTGGGTTAAGTCCCATCTGGGATTCGAACCCACACCCTCAGATTCAGGCACCTAATCGCCAGCACACAAAGTCGGCCGCCTAGACCGCTCAGCCACCGCGGCATTGTGTATTTCATAGCAAGACAGTACTAGGGAAAACCAAGAATCAGCTTTAAAAGCACATAAGGAAGTGAATATTGGTCTCAACATGACAAACCATGTTTTTAACCACTTGATAATATCAATTGGTCTCAACATAATTATTATACTGTTTGACCTTTATCAACAAAGATGCTAACCCTAGCACGAATCATGAAGAGCCATGTAACAGGAATTGTCTATTTACCGTTACTTGTCCAGGTTGAATCTGGCATTCTACACAAGATCTACTGGCAGACTGGTCTAGACATTTGTCTAGTCATTTGTCTAGCGTACTTGAGCGAGATGCTAACATGCAATACTAGTATTTACAAGCTTAAGTTGACCTAACTCAAACACATTAATAACTGGAAATAAAGTTAAGAACAATATTTCTGAACAATAAAAATAAAGACAGGGTCTTAATCAACATGATTCAGTTCACAAAACACATTACCTGGAACAATGGAAACTTGAAATGAAAGCATATCTTTTCATTCATCTGTTTTACACAGCTTTACCTACATCATAAACAATCAAAATATAACCAGAGCAGAAAGTAATCCTGTAATTTCATCTTGAAATAATAGTTCTGCAGATTGATCAGGAACAATTACTACAAAGTATATGTAAAAGCTACTTACACCTAAGAAATGGTACAAAGAGCAAGCAGGTAAACTAACACTATACAGAAACACGAGAACTGCTTACATACTTTCAAGCAACACAACACAACACAAAACCCGTCACGAGACGTATATTTGAAGTGTAGATAGTTCATTAAATATAATTGATGTACAACAAGTATAAAGAAAGTATAACCCACAGGTAGACTACAAAACTATCAAATTAGCTTATAATTGTAAATGTCTTTGGTACAACAGTCTGTGATAAATTCAATAAATCATCCCTGATGAATTCATTAAATCCAAGAGACACAAACTGATTCAACATAAATCAATATTTACAGCCGCTCTGGGACAATTAGAAACTGTTTGAAAATATCTAATATATACTGATACTTAGAGTAAACAAATCACAACATTAGGTCATGTTATGACAGCATTTCTAACACTACCAGACAAAGATCCTTGCAAATAAAATACCTCTTATAGATAAGTGGGCGAGTCTGGTTTAATGCTGCTTTAAACATTATTTCAGCTACATCACCATAGGTCTGCTTCACGTGGGAGCAAAGCGTGGAGTGATGCGGGGGTTGATGAGGCCAACATACATGTATACAGTGCTGACAAAGCAGAAACATTTGGGTGAATCTGGGATCCCATCCAGGATGATAGGTTCCTGGCATGTCCAAGGGAAGCAACTCTTTTAATTGAATTGCTGTGCCCCAAACTGATGGGATGTCCATGCCACTATTAAGATGAAATGTCATTGACAATGTAATTGCAAAATGGCCACAAAACGCCATAGTGTGACTCACTAGCTGCTGGTCCCGTCCGATGGCACCGAGGCTTGCATATGACTGCCAACATCCTCTTTTGGATACTGACTTACTTCCTTTTCATCATTACTTGGTATACAGATTCACAATCACAAAATTGCTCCAAGGAGGAAGAAATTCCTTTCAAGTGCTGTTGAATCCGTTAAAAGATTTCAGTGCTTAAATAAGATTGATAAGTAAAGGGAAGTAACTCTTGCGGTTGTCTTTAGTGTAAACACTCAAAAACGACTGACTCTTTCATTTGAATTTTTTAAATTAAAATCTATGGACATTTACATGACTGTTCAAAATGACATTTTGAAATTTATTCATATTTTTACTGATACTTAACCATGTCGCCAAGTATAAACAAAGGGGCTGTAAATGACATAACAATAAGCTAAGGTATGCATACTCCTTGTATTTATTCCCATAACAAGTCTAAATAGCTTTCTAGCAACTAAAACAAGATATAGTTTTAGTACATACAGGTACAAAACAATATGTGTTTGTTTTACAAAGATCAGACAACTTAACGTATATCTTATGTAAACTGAATTCATACATAAAAGAACTAAAGAGGGTATCTGCATACAACGGCAGCCATGCACCTCTGAATGTGTCAACATTAATATTTTACACTGACAGGCCAAAGCATCAATTGTTCTTTACCTGAGGTCTACGCAGATGCTGGATTCTTAATCACCTGATTTTGTATTCTCACACACATGCACGCACGTACGCACGCACACACACACACACACACACATATATTTATATACCAATCAAAAGAGGTTAAAGAATGACAGACTGATTGTAGTAATATGAAGGAATCAAGTGTTCCTTAACTTCTAGAGTAGTATAATACCATCAGGCATATGTGACAGGTTATCCTTGATGGTCCATAGGACAGGTCTGCGACACTGTCTCCATACACAAGCCTGTTGGTCTTGTACAAAGAGGGAAGGAAGTATTCTCATTTACAAGTGAATGAGTGAGTATGGTTTTACGCGGCTTTACGCAGTATTCCAGCAATATCATGGCAGGGGACAACAGAAATGGGCTTCACACATTGTACCCATGTTGGGAGTCATCTCATTTACAACAGGCATGTACCCAATGTCGCACAACGTAATAACCAAGCAACCCTACATTCATCATGATTCAGTTGGCCTAGTGCTGCTCCACAGATAATATAACAACTTGCTCCTTTTCTCAACAGGTAGGTGAAACAAAGTCTTCAGTTATTGCAATTAGCATAGGGAATCATACACAGGCTCTAGTACAGCAAACCGAACTGCTTCAAAAACACTACATTTGAAACCGCTGGTCATAGTGGAATTCTTACAAAAATAAGCAGCATCTGCTGGATTCTGAAAAAGATTCGGAAATGTTGGCTGATGATGTGCGTCCCTTAAGTCTTCCCTGTGAATAGGACTTCTGTTTTCATTGGGGTTGAGCAATGTTGGCAACTATGAGAAACTTTCTCCATCATTGCAAGGATGTTGACTTCTTGTAGGACACGTCTTGTGCAGTTTGAGCAATTGACAGACCTGTTTGGATTAATTCAGTCTTAACAGCGTGTTGTCCAGCACCATTTCCAAGAACTGAAAATAAGTGAGTGATAATCAACATGACTGACTGAGTGAAGATGGAAATAAGCTACAGTGGTTAGTGAAAGAAAACATTTTGTTGCATCAACTTTAAGTTATTTATAAACTGATGAAAACGAGCCACATATATCATCAAAAGTACATATGGTAGAACAATAAGGGAAATATTCCTGATTCAGTATAACAGTAAACATGGTAAAGCAAAGAGTATGTCAAGTATATCAATGTGTGACTGTTTAATGGGGGAGAAATGCCGAAAGTAACATCCAGGAATTCACAATTTTGTTAAACCCCCAAGGATAGGTATGGTGCAAGGACCATGATCAGCACCAGTTGAGAATTTAAACCAATGATATTCCAGCAATATCATGGCGGGGACAACAGAAATGGGCTTCACACATTGTACCCATGTTGGGAATCATCTCATTTACAACAGGCATGTACCCAATGTCGCGACAACGTAATAACCAAGCAACCCTACATTCATCATGACTCAGTTGGCCTAGTGTTGCTCCACAGATAATATAACAACTTGCTCCTTTTCTCAACAGGTAGGTGAAACAAAGTCTTCAGTTATTGCAATTAGCATAGGGAATCATACACAGGCTCTAGTACAGCAAACCGAACTGCTTCAAAAACACTACATTTGAAACCGCTGGTCATAGTGGAATTCTTACAAAAATAAGCAGCATCTGCTGGATTCTGAAAAAGATTCGGAAATGTTGGCTGATGATAAAAGGTCCCTTTAAGTCTTCCCTGTGAATAGGACTTCTGTTTTCATTGGGGTTGAGCAATGTTGGCAACTATGAGAAACTTTCTCCATCATTGCAAGGATGTTGACTTCTTGTAGGACACGTCTTGTGCAGTTTGAGCAATTGACAGACCTGTTTGGATTAATTCAGTCTTAACAGCGTGTTGTCCAGCACCATTTCCAAGAACTGAAAATAAGTGAGTGATAATCAACATGACTGACTGAGTGAAGATGGAAATAAGCTACAGTGGTTAGTGAAAGAAAACATTTTGTTGCATCAACTTTAAGTTATTTATAAACTGATGAAAACGAGCCACATATATCATCAAAAGTACATATGGTAGAACAATAAGGGAAATATTCCTGATTCAGTATAACAGTAAACATGGTAAAGCAAAGAGTATGTCAAGTATATCAATGTGTGACTGTTTAATGGGGGAGAAATGCCGAAAGTAACATCCAGGAATTCACAATTTTGTTAAACCCCCAAGGATAGGTATGGTGCAAGGACCATGATCAGCACCAGTTGAGAATTTAAACCAATGATAAGCAAATCTAGACACAAGGAGTAGGGATGCAACTCCAGATTGCAAACTGATGTGAGTTAGACAACTGGGCCGCATGTGCCTCCATCAGCAGAGTGAGGGTATTTGAAGCACCATCGCTGCATAACTTCAAATGGACAAAATGAACACCAGGCAGCAGTCTGCAGCATGAGCAACAATCCACCTGATCACTAGCCGGTAAATACCACCCTAGTTAAGTTGCAGGTGAGAAATCAATCATTGGCAACCCATGCTGTCTAAAGAGAGTGAGCGAGTGAGTATGCTTTAACGCCGCTTTTAGCAATATTCCAGCAATATCATGGTGGGGGACCAGAAAAAGGCTTCACACATTGTACCCATGTGGGGAATCGACCCTGGGTCTTCGGTGTGACGAGGCAACACTTTCACCACAAGGCTACCCCACCGCCCCTGCATGCCTTAAGAGTCCATTAACAGGACATGTGGTCAGGGTCACAGACTAAGTTGATGTATCCCAACTGCACAGATTGATGCTCATTGTGTCAGTGACTTGATTGTCTGGTCCAGACCTAGTTATATACAGACCATTTTAATACAACTGGAGTAACTCAACACACACACAATTACATACCCAGGGATCTCTTACATTACACTAGATGAAAGTCAGCTTTTGTTGCAGTTTGGAAATTACTTGTAAAGTGAATTAATTGGGTGAGTGAGTTGGGTTTTACGCTGCTTTTAGCAATATTCCAGCAATATCACGGCAGGGGACACCAGAAATGGGCTTCACACATTGTACCCAATGTGGGGAATCGAACCCATGCCAGCTGAATGATGAGCGAATACTTTAACCACTAGGCTACCCCACTGCCCAAATTTAGTTGGGTATGTCAAATTTAACATGTGAACTCACAACATGTGTCAGGCTACAATCGGTGCAAGTAGGCATTGAAGATAAGTGAAATTCTCTGGTCACATCCAAATATTTCTCTGGTCACATCCAAATATTTCTCTGGTCACATCCAAATATTTCCCTGCTCATCAACATAACACTTGAAATCACCTCGCTCAGCCTAAATATCTCAGACAGAATGAAAAAGTAACATGGACATGCAAGTCCATGGATAAACCTAAAACCAAAGTGCATAACTATAAGATCAACATGGCGCTGTGGGCTTAGTTGCTCACCTTCACAATGACAATGAACCTGAAAGCAACAGTGGTACTTACTTCTTCATAATTGATGTTGATAATTCCTTGCTGTTGTGTATCTTTCACTCTGAATTTATCTGTCAATGTTTTCAACATCACACACGTTTGAATGAAATCATCAAAGTTTATGCTTCGAATTCCTTTTCTGTCAAAAACACGAATAACCATATCACAGAAATTTGGGGACCTGAAACAGCACAAAATTACATCAATAAATTGTATTGGAAGTGTTAGACATATCTGGAGTGGCTGAGTGTGACACCATGTTTATTTTCAAGATAATCAATACATTCAGGATAATTAGACATGAGGCTGACAAACAAGGACAAAAGCACTATTTGCCTCTTATCAGGAAGATCAAGGTTAGAACTGGTCTTCAGCAACCCATGCTTGTCTTAAGAGGCGACTAATGGGATCAGGTGGTTAGACTTGCTGACTTGGTTGACACATGTCATTGTATCCCAATTGTGTAGATCGATGCTCATGATGTTGATCACTGGCTTGTCTGGTCCAGACTTGATTATTTAGAGACTGCTGCCATATAGCATGAAGAGATATTCACCTCACCAGCTAAACAAACTTTCATGCCTTTCAACCTGCCTATCATACCCTCTCCATATTTTGATGCCCTACTCAAAAGAACATTGAGAACATCTGATTTTTCAAAAGACTCCATATAATCTGTAATGACTATGATGACATCAGAAAGTACTCACAAATTATAACCAAATGTACGGAAAGCATTATTTAACTCCTGGGCATCGATGTTTCCAGACCGGTCTGTGTCAAAGCTGAAAAGAAAGCATTTTATGTTTACTATATAGAGGATCCATCTTCTGTAGGTTAATCAACACAGTCACAAGGGTTGAAACCATTCACCAGGGTACCCATGCATAGTAATATTGTAGTGTCTTAGATTTTAGTGGAAAGCATGTGACACTATTTCTAGCTATGGGACAAGACCAAACAAAAAGTTACAAGGTTTGGTTTTTGAATTGCGCCTATTTTTTTTATATTATATGCAAGATTTAAGCCTTTGTTTGTTAACTTCACTGAATCAACTTCAAAGTGTTTATTTAATTCATCTTAATATGGTTTCTAGTTTATTATTTTCATGTTAAGACAGAGCTACCTAAAACAGTGAGTGTCAGCTGTTACAGTGTGTCATATCACAATAGTGCTGTTGAAATATGTGAGAGGACAGTGTGTAAGTCTACAACACAACAAACTTCAGAACCAAAAGCAAAAATTGTGATTAGCAGTGGATGCTTTATGATCATAACTTGATTGGTTGATCACATGCAGTTCATATCATGCGTACGATTGGTTGATCCATAACACATCATATCATTGGTCAGTCACAGCTGTGAGTCTGTGGATCACCAGTAACGTGTTAAACCATTATCATTTATCATAGTTTTTCTGAACTCAAACATAATAACAGCGTAAACATACCCATCAAAACAATTCTTCCAGTCTTGAATATATTTCCACAAGGCTGAAAATTCACCAACATCTATTGTGCCACTTCTGAAACAGACACGAGCATGTGGGTCAGTGTGGAAATCATCATGGCTTATTTGTTACCTTTAATCAGAAAGGAGCGACACCTCACACGTTGTGGGTGCCTTAACGGGGGACTATGATCCATATATTTGCCCATATTTGGTCAAAGTCAGTAAATCATTTTTTTATCACTAATGTATAAACTTTTGACTGAAATCTTGTTTGGTTCCTGTATTAAAAAAAATATTGTAAGAGCAATTTGAGTTACTTAAGTTTTATGACCACTTACAACAGTATTTCACTCAGATCATCATGTGATCATGGTGTGCTCAAAGAAATGCAAAGCAAAATCATTTATGATCATATTTAGATCATATTTAGGGCCAATTTGGGATTTGAACAAACTATAAGCAGATCTTGGTATGACATATGGTCAGGGATGCAATGAGTGAGTGAGTTTAGTTTTACGCCTCTTTTAGCAATATTCCAGCAATATCATGGCAGGTGTACACCAGAAATGGGCTTCACACATTGTACCCATGTGAGAACCTGGGTCTTCAGTGTGACAAGTGAATGTTTAACCACTAGGCTACCCCACTGCCCGTGATGTGCAGTGCTTTAGGTAACATGGGGTTACTGTGCCCCATGTGCCACTTGTGACCCCAGTATTACCTGTCTTTGTCAAACATTCCTATCATGAGTCTGCATGTTTCGCTGTTGAAGGGTGACCAGTTGCCATTCATCAGTGCTTGTTGAAGTTCTGTTGAGTTGATGGTGCCAGATCTGTCCTGGTCCACTGCCTGGGAAAACACAAGAGATATGGAATGTAGTCTACAGATACTGTAATATGCTTGAAACCAGCCAGTATTCATCACTGGTAGACATATAATGTCTGCATCCTATCACAACAATAAGATAACCATACTATCAAACACCTAGAAAACATTTACACTCCATAGTTTATATAATTTCTAATGTTTCCAAACAGCATATACTCAACATGCTTAAACAATTTCAAGTGACTAATAATAATTTATTTGAACAAAATTCTACCGGGAAAATAACAGTTGAGTGAGTGAGTGAGTTTAGTTTTAAGCCGCACTCAGCAATGTTCCAGCTATATGGATGGCGGCTGTGTGTAAATAATCGAGTCTGGACCAGACAATGCAGTGATCAACAGCATGAGCATCAATCTGCGTAATTGGGAACCGATGACATGTATCAACCAAGTCAGCGAGCCTGACCACCAGATTCCGTTAGTCACCTCTTACGACAAGCATAGTCGCCTTTTGTGGCAAGCATGGGTTGCTGAAGACCTATTCTACCCCGGATCTTCACGGGTCAAATTAACAGTTGATAAATGATATACAGTAATATATTAATATATTAAACTTAGGACTTTTCGTGACACAGAAATGTGTGTCCTGTACATACACACATACAGAATAGAAGCAGAAAATTATATACATTGTATCCATTGTGACAAATTCTTGAAAAGAAATATATGAAACTTGTAATTAAAATATATATCAAATCGTACTGTTTAGTACACTACACCATTTCAATACTGTACAGGATCTTCATATTTCTTGTTAGGACCCTTGAAATTAGTAATTGGGAGGTCCTTAGAGGTTTGTAAATACACTGATCAATAAATGATAAACCCCTACCTGAAACCAGCTCCACATTTCCTGACTTATACCTGGGGGCCGTGCAGGTGCCCCATATCCCCCACCATAGCCTGCTGTCTGAGGGGCTCCATACCCTTGTGGCGCCCCATATGATGGGGGAGCCCCACCAGGCCTTTGCTGGAAACCTCCTCCATACTGTTGGCCATACTGTTGTTGCTGCTGTCCATACTGTTGCCGTGGTTGGCCATATTGCTGTTGAGGGGGTTGACCATAAGCCTGATTATACTGTCCAGGCTGGCCGTACTGGGGACGCTGTTGAGGTTGCTGCTGGTAATATCCAGCCCCAGTGCCATAGCCTCCCTTGAAGTATATACACAAAAAAATGCATAATTCAAAGAAAATAAACTCAACATGTCATTGCTCTGTAGTGAAAGCTCCTAAGACCTTACAAATAATTTTAAAGTAACATTGAATCATATTTGTCTGATGTGAAACCAACCTTGTATACATTATTTATACTCGAGGCCAGGAACATAATGAGGTTTCCTGATTATATTAATTTGTCTGGATAGTCTGTAACCAAAATGGTTAACAAAATGTGCTGGTTCAAATATGTCAACAAACAAAATGTCTGATCACTTACTTACTCTAAGGCCATGGGTCACACATGAAGCAACACTTAATTTGGACGGGAAACTAAAAAACTAACTAAACGTAATTTGTTTCATAGTGATGAAAAATGTGAGTGTTTCAAATTTACAGATGAGCATGAAGTTTACTTTTTCAAAAGAGTTAACAGACTGACATACCAGAAGTGAATTTGTTGCTGTTACCGGGCATTGATTGATGGTGGACTTAAGTACTAATCACTTGGTGCTGATAAACACTTACATACAATGTGATAGGACCAAATGTATTTTCAAAATCATGTTTACCCTTTACACCTTTTCAGCGGGAATCTTATATGGCTGTAGTTGTTTTCGTGATAAATGTCATGAGCTATATCTGACGGTTTAAAAATAGGTCTTTTGTTGGAAATAGGAAAATGTATACCAAGACATTATTATCCATTAACTAAACAGAGAACTTCACATGAAAGTTACAGTGTAAAGCAATAAAAAACAAGCAGTTAGGAAATTCCTAGAGTAAACATGGTCCACTTCCGAGACACGTTCGGGGATATCTGACCGTCAGAAACTTGCCAGCATGAACATCAACATATTACGGTACTCACATATCCTTGCTGCGGCGGACCTCCCCAAGACATACTTGTTACAAGCCTAATCAAAATAACGCTGACCAGATAATGACAAACACGTCAACGTTTGTTGCAACACTCAGGTCACTTGACTATGACAAGCGCCATTACTAGGGGAACTAACTCGTGTGAAACTGAATTTGTATACCACTAAAATGGTATATTTTTTCGAAAGGTTCGTGAGTATGGTTTTACGTAGCCTTGTACCAACGCTGCACTGAAAGCTAAGCCCATTGGTGTATAGTAATTCTATCATTTAAATAGGCAAGTCTAGATAAGCGGACAGTACAGAACGTTAGAGGAATATTCATTTTATAAAAATTATCATTTAAAGTATTTATTATTACCTTAGGGACCTGTGCAAGTCTAGGTTTTAAGCCACTGTTAGCAATATTGCAGCAATAAGAAATGGGTTTCACACATCGTACACATACGTGGGAAATCGAATCCGGATCTTCGGTGGGACGAGCGAACGCTTTAACCAGGGAGACTATATAAGGAGAGTATCCCTGCTTTAACCTACACCAAAGCCCCTTCTAATAATTTGTTACGTAAGAGTCAAATGGATAGGAACAAACAATAAAATATCCACAATGATACGGAAGTACTGTATATAGAAATGCCGATATGTGTAAGATATGGACTAATAGGACGTATTGGAAGAGTTCTCAATAGAAACCGAAATAAAGCATGAGATGCTGACAATTTTCTGTTTAAATGGTTAATCTGCTACCATTTTCAGGTATTACATTCTGTTCGGACCCACGGAGTTTCAACAAAGCAATACAACTTGTTTAACAACATTTTTAAAGAAAACCGAAAACAACAGAGCGTTTGGCAGATTTAGCAATAATGGATAAATAAAACATACAGTATAAGGGACAGTTCGTAATTTATGGCAAGAGGGAGGGGAGGGGGAGGGAATGTCATACAGTTCTATCTGTACATAGAACAGTCAGATGCCTGCCTAGAACGTTACCCAGTAGAACTGACTGGGTGGTGTATTCAAGCATGTGTTAATTGCATTAGCTTTTTTATCGTGTGGATGTTTCTAGTCATTCATGATTGTCAAGGGGCGGCCGCTGAACACAGGCATATGTCTTTCTAACTCCTGATTACCTTCCGGCGTGACTGGGTGGTGTATTTAAGCATATATGATTGTGTACTGTACTTCACGTGTATGAAAGTACTTAGTATCTTGTGAATATGTTAATTGCATTAGCTTTTTTATCGTGTGGATGTTTCTTGTCATTCATGATTGTCAAGGGACGGCTGCTGAACACAGGCATACGTCTTTCTAACTCCTGTTTATCCACGACCTGACTGGGTGGTGTATTCAAGCATATGATTGTGTAATGATTTCAACAGAAACGTGTACATGTCTACTGGCTGAAAATTTGCGCCCAGAACCGTTCCATTTAGACTGGTGTCACGCTCAGCGTGTAACTAGCATGTGAGTCTTCGTGCTTGGGAAAGGCTGCAGGTAGATGCATCGTTTGTGTTTTTAGTACATAACTGAATGCTGATAGTTAGTGGAGGCTATTTGTAGTTACTGTCGCTATATCTTCAAGATGACCCTTACACCATACAAGTGTGTGTGTTTTTAAAGGAACTGATCTAGAAATATTAGGTCGCTATTTCTAGATACCCAGTTCAACCCAAGAGTCATCCAAGTAATATATAAACAAGGGTTTTACTTGCCCTTGCAAGGCCGTTTCCAGGGACTGATCCATGCTTTTGAGTGTAATTTGTACTTCCATAGTAATCCAAACGAAAAGATAACAGACAGCATGGAAATGGGTCTTAACTGAGATGTCTGCTTGATCACAGGCCTAACTAAAGAACAGAGACCACAAAAGTTCAAAGCAGAAGTTCCAAATGACTTGAAACAGATTGCGGCCATTACCATACAGGTATCAGTGACGTCGACAATGGGGCAACGTGGAAATGCCTGTGTGTGGAACGGAAAGATAACAGACAGCATGGAAATGGGTCTCAACTGAGATGTCTGCTCGATCACAGACCCAACTAAAGAACAAAGACCTCAAAAGCTCAAATCAGAAGTTCCAAAACGACCTGAAACTGATTGCGGCCGTTACCATACAGGTATCAGTGACGTCGACAATGGGACAACGTCACTGTTCATTGTGTTCCGTACCTTTTCTGACATCACAAGCGAATTACATCATCAATGAACTGACGTCAGAGACAACGTCACTACTCATTGTGGTCCAACCTCTGCTGACATCATAGACAAAGTTCATCAACAATGGGTTGACGTCACATATAATACGCCTGTGTACAGTGATGACGGCCGGCCGGCAGCCTTGTGAGACGGCGTGTTCCTTTCGGGAGCTCCTTCAAGAGCAGGTAAGGACTAGATCGGGATGAGCGTTCGGCACACGCAAAGCAGTCCATCTTTCTTTCAGAAATGATTTCATTCCTATTTTAATAACTTGGAACAATGTCAACATGTCATACAGTTCTATCTGTACACAGAACAGCCAGATGCCTGTGTAGAACTTTAATTAATATCCGACACATACGCTTTACATCAAACGTGTATTCCAAATTGTTGGCCATTGTGCATGTGCGTGGAAGTACATAGTAGCTTGTGAATACATTAATTGCAATGCTTTTTTCTATCGTATTTGATGTTTCCAGTCATTCAGGATTGTCAAAGTGCAACCTCGACATGGTTACATAGTTCTAACTCCTGATTACCCTCCGACCTGACTGGGTGGTGTATTTAGCATATATGATTGTGTACTGTACTTCACGTGTATGAAAGTACATAGTATGTTGTGAATATGTTAATTGCATTAGCTTTTTTATCGTGTGGATGTTTCTTGTCATTCATGATTGTCAAGGGACGGCTGCTGAACACAGGCATACGTCTTTCTAACTCCTGTTTATCCACGACCTGACTGGGTGGTGTATTCAAGCATATGATTGTGTAATGATTTCAACAGAAACGTGTACATGTCTACTGGTTGAAATTTGGGCCCAGAACCGTTCCATTTAGACTGGTGTCACGCTCAGCGTGTAACTAGCATGTGAGCCTTCGTGCTTGGGAAAGGCTGCAGGTAGATGCATCGTTTCTTTTTTTAGTACATAACTGAATGCTGATAGTTAGTGGAGGCTATTTGTAGTTACTGTCATTATATCTTCAAGATGACCCTTACACCATACAAGTGTGTGTGTTTTTAAAGGAACTAATCTAGAAATATTAGGTCGCTATTTCTAGATACCCAGTTCAACCCAAGAGTCATCCAAGTAATATATAAACAAGGGTTTTACTTGCCCTTGCAAGGCCGTTTCCAGGGACTGATCCATGCTTTTGAGTGTAATTTGTACTTCCATAGTAATCCAAACGAAAAGATAACAGACAGCATGGAAATGGGTCTTAACTGAGATGTCTGCTCGATCACAGACCCAACTAAAGAACAAAGACCTCAAAAGCTCAAATCAGAAGTTCCAAAACGACCTGAAACTGATTGCGGCCGTTACCATACAGGTATCAGTGACGTCGACAATGGGACAACGTCACTGTTCATTGTGTTCCATACTCTTCTGACATCACAAGCGAATTACATCATCAATGAACTGACGTCAGAGACAACGTCACTACTCATTGTGGTCCAACCTCTGCTGACATCATAGACAAAGTTCATCAACAATGGGTTGACGTCACAGACAATGTGTCTGTGTGCAGTAAGGACGGCCGACAGCCTTGTGGGCCGACGTGTTCCTTTCGGGAGCTCCTTCAAGAGCAGGTAACGACTAGATCGGGATGAGCGTTGGGCACAGGGAAAGCAGCCCCGCCTTGTTCTTTCTTTCTTTCACAAATGATTTCATTCCTATTTTAATAACTTGGAACAATGTCAACATGTCATACAGTTCTATCTGTACACAGAACAGCCAGATGCCTGTGTAGAACGTTAATTAATATCCGACACATACGCTTTACATCAAACGTGTCCTTGACAAATTGTTGGCCATTGTGCATGTGCGTGGAAGTACATAGTAGCTTGTGAATACATTAATTGCACAAGCTTTTTTTTATCGTATTTGATGTTTCTAGTCATTCAGGATTGTCAAAGTGCGACCTCAGAACACATGGTTATGTCTTTCTATATCCCAATTACCCTCCGACCTGACTGGGTGGTGTATTCAAGCATATGATTGTGTACTGTACTTCACGTGTATGAAAGTACATGTACTTAGTATCTTGTGAATATGTTAATTGCATTAGCTTTTTTATCGTGTGGATGTTTCTTGTCATTCATGATTGTCAAGGGACGGCTGCTGAACACAGGCATACGTCTTTCTAACTCCTGTTTATCCACGACCTTTCTGGGTGGTGTATTCAAGCATATGATTGTGTAATGATTTCAACAGAAACGTGTACATGTCTACTGGCTGAAATTTGCGCCCAGAACCGTTCCATTTAGACTGGTGTCACGCTCAGCGTGTAACTAGCATGTGAGCCTTCGTGCTTGGGAAAGGCTGCAGGTAGATGCATCGTTTCTTTTTTTAGTACATAACTGAATGCTGATAGTTAGTGGAGGCTATTTGTAGTTACTGTCATTATATCTTCAAGATGACCCTTACACCATACAAGTGTGTGTGTTTTTAAAGGAACTGATCTAGAAATATTAGGTCGCTATTTCTAGATACCCAGTTCAACCCAAGAGTCATCCAAGTAATATATAAACAAGGGTTTTACTTGCCCTTGCAAGGCCGTTTCCAGGGACTGATCCATGCTTTTGAGTGTAATTTGTACTTCCATAGTAATCCAAACGAAAAGATAACAGACAGCATGGAAATGGGTCTTAACTGAGATGTCTGCTTGATCACAAGCCTAACTAAAGGACAGACACCTCAATAGTACAAACCAGAAGTTCCAAAACGACCTGAAACTAATTCCGGCCATTACCATACAGGTATCAGTGACGTCGACAATGGGACAACGTCACTGTTCATTGTGTTCCGTACTCTTCTGACATCAAAAGCGAATTACATCATCAATGAACTGACGTCAGAGACAACGTCACTACTCATTGTGGTCCAACCTCTGCTGACATCATAGACAAAGTTCATCAACAATGGGTT